CCCCATCCAATGCCCTGCCTGCAAGGGAGCTGGGGGCTTGCTGGACCATGGCAGGAAGGAGTACAGGAGAAGTGAATGGATTCAGAATGGTTTGGAGACCCCTGGCCATGGTGGGATGCAGGAGGTGACACAATGCTCCAGCCCCTTAGGCTCCCACAAGCTCAGCAAGCACTGTCCCAGTGCAGGAGCCGGCAGAAAGCCTGCATAGAGCCCCAGTGTGTCCCCCCCTTGGGGGGCTTGCTGGACCATGGCAGGAAGGAGTACAGGAGAAGTGAATGGATTCAGAATGGTTTGGAGACCCCTGGCCATGGTGGGATGCAGGAGGTGACACAATGCTCCAGCCCCTTAGGCTCCCACAAGCTCAGCAAGCACTGTCCCAGTGCAGGAGCCGGCAGAAAGCCTGCATAGAGCCCCAGTGTGTCCCCCCCTTGCTCCAGCCACTACAACAGCACCTTGTTCCTCAAGGGCCACTGGTGCCTTATCAGGGAAGCCACGGTTAATCATTTCCAGCACAAAGCAGCTTTCCCTCCCCTGCAGGGCACTGCAGCTCTGCCAGGCCTGGCCTCCACCACCAACCCACTGGCAACAGGTCCAGCATCACCCGCCGAGGCACGGCAGTGTCACTCCTGCAGCATTTACCTGCAGGTCCCTGCACATCCTCGTCCGGGGGAGCCAGCATTGCCCCACTCCGGAGCCCCCATCCGGGTTTGGGGCTGCCTAAACCTGCTGCAGATGCTCAGTGCAGTGCCAGATGAAGGCAAATTGGGCACCCACGTGCATGCAGAGTGGGTGCTCAGGCGTGAATTAATGGGGCACTTATGCATGCACTAACTGGGGACCCATGCCTGAGGCAGATGGGCACTCATGCAGAAACAAATCGGGTGATCATGCATGGACTAATTGAGTGCTCGTGCATAAATATCTGGGTGCTTCTAAGTGAACTAATTGGGTGCTCATGCATGAACTACCTGGGTGCTCAGGTGTGAATGAAAGGGGTGCTCATGCATACATTTTGTGGGCACTCTTGGCTCTAATGGGGTAGTGATGCATGGACTAATAGAGATCTCAGGTGTGAATTCACTGGGCACTCCTGCGTGAACTAATTGGGCACTCGTGGGTGAATTAGTGTAATTAGTAGGTAACACCCTTGTGCATGTGCTAATTGGGCACTCAGGTGTGAATGGATCAGGTGCTCATGCAGAAATTAATTGGACACTGGGGCATGAACGGATGGAGAGCACATGCAGTGATTAATCGGGCGCCCATGCAGCATGTAACAGGGAGCTCATGCATGGACCAGTGTGTAATCCAGCGTGAACTAACTGGGCGCCCATGCATAAACCCACCAGTGCTCTATGTAAGTTAATTTCGCACTCATGTGTGTGTTAATTGGGTGCTCATGCATGAACTTACGGGGTGCTG